AACTTGAATCAGTTTTACAGCAAGATCCATTTGACTATTTTGACCCTAAAAACCGTCTAAATATTCACAAATATGAACAATGTCTACATATAACATCTAGTGTGTATCAGCATGTTACACTACAGGATTCAGAATTTGGTCATGAAGGTGCTTACAATTATCTTATGCATTTTATCATGATATATGGTAAAACACACATTATTCAATTTGACGTTTCCACATTCCTGACTTGTTCTCGTCGGGATACTCTATCGCCATTTTTACCCTTTTACTTATGCATCACATTCATTTAAATGCTGCAGCCATACATTTAAATTCAAACTTCTAATTGATGATATTATCATCCTGTGTCCTGTGCGTTTGGCTCTGCAGCCAGCAGAAGTGCTCACTCTTGGATCTGTTCTGGTGTAATGCTGCCACCTTGTGGCGCAAATGAGGTATTGCTTCGATTGTAGAGGAGAGAAATACTCGTAATTGGTCAGGGAGTATTGCTTCTAAAAATAGTAATATTGCACTTTTCAAAGAGAACACTTCTATTATTGGACTAATTCCTAATAAAAGGCTATTTCTATAGACAATTAACACAAAAGTTGTCCTTGAAATTGGCACCGTAGTCCGGTGATTAAAAAGGAATAAATATTTGTTTTGATGAATAATTACAGCGTAGCTGGATTTGTGACGTAGCTGGATTTGTTAATTGGCTTACGTGACGTGCAGGCAGTGACAGCGTGACGTGTGAGAGGAGAGAGGAGAGAGGGAGTTTTGTGATTCTTTTTTGGAGGTTTTGCACAGAGCTTGCGTAGTAACTGTCTTGTGGTGATCAGCAGGGGGATCTGCAGGATGTCTGTCAGTAACGGGACTTTTGCTCGAAGTTTTGCGGAGCTGCAGGACTTAATTAGCAGCTCGTGGACGGACAGGTGTGCTGCTTCACTCAAGCTCGACTTTGTTTTGATTGTTTTCAAACCTGTAAACCTGAGACAACAACCAGATAGAGCTCTGAGCCCCCGGGGATGCTGGACAATCTGTGGACCTCACATCTTACATCGGAAAAGGTAGGCCTACTGATGGAATTATTTTTATTTCTCAGTTTAAGTGAAGTTACCACTAAGTAAAGATAAACAACTCAGGGCCCCCTTTCTACATATTTAGCATAACATTTAACAAAGTTACAGTGGGGGAAAACCTCCAGCAAAACCAGACTCCAGAAAGTTGAACAGACATCTGCTGAAACTGCGATGGGCCTGGACTGTGAGATAGAGACAAACAGAGCATAACAACCTCAATAAACAAGATAGAATTAAAGCCACAATATCAATAATAATGGTAAAAGTATGTGAAGCTTCATAGATACATTTACTTTATTGATCCCAAACTGTGAAACTGTGGTGTTACTGGAGGGAAGGAGGAATCCCTGGAAAAAAAGGAGGAATTAGCCACTTCAATAATAATGAAAAGTATTGAGCTTATAGATACATTTACTTTATTGATCCCAAACTGTGAAACTGTGGTGTTACTGGAGGGAAACATTTTTTATCCCTGGAAAAAAAGGAGGAACTTGGCACCCCTGTGTGCTTCACTTGTAAATATGAATTAGCAGTTTCAACTGAGTATTATAATACATTACATGATAATACTGATCTGTCTAATTTGCGAACTGGTTTAATGGTACAACTAAAAGGAAATGTACCTGGTCAATACAACTTGCATGTCTCAATGAATGATTGAATGTTTTCTTTCCATACTGGGTCATTTACAGTTACCTACACAACATTTAAAACATGTACAACTCAAACTTTCAACAAACTGAAATATTTTCATCCACAGTCGTGATGTTGTTTTAATTGTGTCCAAATGTTCTTCCTGTGTGGAGAATCACTATCATTTCAACCAGTGAGAAGACAGTTTTGATGTCTCTGAAAACCTAAATTTGAGAGGTAGAGGGGAAGGAGAATATTCCAAATATGGTGCAATATTGCCCTCTAGTGGACAATATCACGTACTAAAATGCACTGTGTCCTCTTGAAGTGACTTTCCATTCCTCTGAAGGAGTGATCAGTAGAAAAGAAATACCTATGAAAACAAATCAATAAAAAAAGATCACAAGGGTGCTGACCTGTGATATTTTTTTTATGATGCTGCTCCTGAAAAAGTCAATTTCTAAGTGATGATCTTGTTTGCAATCAGTTTGAGTTTGATCTGGCTTTAGCTTCATCTATTTCGACTTTCATAATGTGATTATGGACAATCTCCACATCAGGAACAGTACAATTAATCAACCCTAGCATCATTCCAGTCTGGAGAAAACATTGAAATTGCAGATTTGTCGAGAAAGACACCCGGCCGCGAGGAATTAGAGAACGAGCCCTTTCAAGCTGGAAAAAAGAACGCATTATTTAAATGTCTGGCTGATTATTATTATAAAAAAACAGCCCTGATATGATACCGCAGGATTTCATTTCTACTTCTTTATTGCCACTTAACTTTTAATTTTATTATAATAATAATAATTATACCGGGCAAATTAGACGTTCCCACACGATGGAGAGGAAATGCATTGATGATTGACGCTACAAGTGAAGCTGAGAAATGGACTGGATGGTTCAGATTGAATATATTAAATATGAAGCCCTACTGGACCATGTGACTAAACGACTAAGGAACACACAGTGTGAAGAATTACATATGCAGTGTATATTTTTTTAATCTTAATGCCCATAGTTCATTTGAAATAATATTCTACTAGTCAGTGCCTCGATCGTAACAAGTAAAGGTATCAGGGAGTAGCTGCTTGGCTCGACTTGTAAACTGGACATGAACCGGTCCACATCCAGGAGGGACGCCCGATGATGAGACGGGGATATTCATTTGAGCGCCGAGACTTGAGAGAGTCAGCTTGGACGATTACCAAAGTCTTTCATGCTCCAGCGTGCCCTGACTTAGGACTGAGGCTAAGCTAATGCTACCTCTGCCAACATGAACGACAACAAGTGTGCATGCAACTGAAAAGACAGAATGACTGTGCAGCAGGATGATTGGTTGAGAGAAGTAGTAGGGGGAGGGATTTAGGTTGAATAACCAGTCTTCCTGCTTGAACTTACGCAGAGCTCCATGTGTGGCAGAAACCAGGGGCGGATTCTAGAGCCCCCTAGGCGAAAAACCCCTCTGTGGTGTGAGAGTGAGTGCTGTCAGATGGGGCCCCCCTTGGAACGGTTTCCTACAGTCATTCCAAAATGTGCCCGTTTTCGGCCACTGCTTCGAGAGTGATTGCTGTCAAATGGGCGCCCCATTAGGGAGGTTTCTTACTGTCGTTGCAAAATTAGCACATTTGGGTCACATTTTTTTAAGCATGTGAGCCCTCAGGAGCCCCTTACTGGTCTGGGGCCCCCTACTGGTTGTGTGCCTTGTTACAGGGCTTTTTGTGTTTTCTCATTGACTTGTACAGTTGCAGCTTGTGGTCCGGGTTCTTCTTCAGTCAATATAAAAAAAACAAAAAAAAAACCAACACAACGCAGATAGCACTACCAGTAATGGATGTGCACTTCAAATCGTGAATGAGCATGATATGTTCTCAGAAGCTCTTTATCAAGTTCAGTTCTGGTCCTTGGTAGATGAAAAACAGCTTTTCTAAATACCGGTCCCAGTCAGTTGACACAAACAGGAGATTTCATTCAGACGTATAAAATAGTGATTTTTGTTTTATTGAAGTATCTCAACAGATCAAGACACTTATAAAGTGTAGTAGAAATATCAGAAGTGAGGAGAGTTTACTGTAGTGAGGGCCAAGCTCTGGTTCACTTCAGTCAGTTCACAGATTCACATATAGGGTGGATTGTTCAAATACTACAGGATATGACTAAGTCTCAAATGAGTCAATGTGGCAATTTAAAAGATCCAAATATGAAATCCTAAATATGTCCTCGTTTCAGTGATGAACTGACTGAACTGGAACCAGATTGACCCGGCCTCGCTAATGTCCTAACTTACATTCCATATATATAACTGTATGAAAATAGAAACATTAATAAGATACATCCTACATAAAAAGCTCCCCCCCCCCCCATAATATACAATTCAGGGGGGAAAAAGTGAGTCTTTAGACGTTGAGTTTTTTCCACAAAGCAAAAATGCAAGAGCAAAAAACATTACAATCAATCAATAAATAAATTACTAAAACCCCAAATGTTTCCAGGACTGTCCACGTCTCTCTCTTTGTTAAAGTGTGTGTCCATAAGAGCCTTCAAGAACCGCAGTGGATAATCCATTTTACAGCACTGCTCCTTGTAAGAGGGGAGGGGGAGGGGGAGGGGTGGGTGGGTGTATGGAGTGTCACAAGATGAGAAATCTGTTTGGAAGGAAATATGCCTTTTGGTTGCGCACATTGCAGGAGTGTGAAAAACAGAAGCCTTCACCAAAACAATATAAGCTGAAACTCTATTGTCCTGAAAGTGGATAGAGGGAATGACATGCAGGAAAACGGAGCCTCGCCCCCCCCATGGTCGGATTTGAACCCGTGCAATAAGTCAGGATACTACGACGAGACATCATTCTAGCTGTCATAGCAGTAAATTATATTTTTATCCTTGTATGGGTAAAATGACCATGTGATTAATGGCAGTTAAAATATGTCTACAAAAAGAAGCTTAAAGGCAGGGTTGGTCATTTCCTCCAGATCCACTTTTTAAGATTTTTTTTGAAATTGTCTTTAGGTCCTGACAGACATTAATAACTCATGTGCTCTGAAAAAGGAAGGAAGAAAATCCGTCATCTGTAGCAGTTGTAAAGATGTAAAAAGTTTGACCAATGTCTGCCACGAGGTACCAATCTGATGAACCAATCAGGAAGCTCCCTGTGTCCCTGCTCGTTCTCTACCCCATGCATGCTCGAGCCCACAGTCAAAGCAATGAGCTGAGGTCTGCTTCTGGACCAATGGCGCTTGTGCATGTAAGTGAGGGGGCGTGGCTTTTGAGGGAGCACAGAGGGGAGGGGGTTGGGTGCAGACGTAGCACTGAGGGAATGCTACTTTCAAAATCATGCTAGTTTTTTTGAAAATTACCAACCCTGCCTTTAATAGAAAAGTACCAGTCAACATTATAAAAGTGAATTTAAACTGTGGTCCACTCTCTCTAACCCCACTGTAATATAACAGACTTGTTTTTTTACAAAATAGTTTTTATAGGTTATGCAAACCACAGGTTACTGACACTGCCATTGGTCACAAAACCAGTGAAAGTTACTGGTCCACCGCACACAACACCCAGGTCCGACTTAGGCTAGCTGTAGCCAGTCGTTGTGCTCAGCCCTGATAGCTACTTATTAATTTCTTCTTATTTTTTTGAAATTGTATTCCCAAAATGTTCCACTTATCAGAAGGAAAAACAACGACACTTTCTGCGACCTTCATCTGGTCATTTGTGTATTTCGCCCATTATTATTATTATAATGTTTATTGGCTTGGTATGTTTTTGTTTTTTTAGAATTTAACTTGTGAAAAACACATGAATGTTCTTGGCATCTACTGAAACAGCATCTCTTACTCATGAAGTATCAAGTACAAAAGCTCAGATTTAACACTCAGACTAAATAAGCCCCTGACACTTATATTTAAATTAATCTTGTTTGTGTGGGCTTATTGACTTTCTGTGTAAATACAATTTATATAATAATAATAATACAAATAATAATTAAAAGTTTCTTAATTGAAAGTATAACTAGTGCTACAAATGAATGGTATTAGTTTTAAACATCTACAGTGGTGGTGTTCTGGGTTGGTTACATTAATAAATGGCTCTAAATTAGGGCCCGACCGATATGGGATTTTTGGGTCCGATACCGATAATAGGGAGAGTAGAAAAATCTGATATCGATATAGTGGTTGATATCTTTTTTGAGATCCATCTTCAAACTGTAGAGAATTTTTTTTATTTAAGATGGGCACTCAGCTGGAAAGTAACGCATGTTCATGCATCATCGATTCACACTATGGAGGTTGAATATGCTTGTTGTAGTCCATATAGCGCCCTCTGCTGGTGAAAGAGAACGGCTAGTGTAATACAATGAAACTCAAATGCAATGCTTTTAGACTTGTGGATAAATCTAGTAATAATGATTACTAGTAATAATAATTAATGCGATTAAAAAGTAGCCAATGCCGATAGTCTGGATATGCTAATATCAGCTGATTTTATCGGCTCTACTCTAAATGTGGTCGATGAGGTAACGGTGACAAAAAGGGGGAACTCCTTGCTGCTTCTCTCGGTGGTGCACCCTTTCTAAAGAAGGCACTTTGGGGTGCTTCCCCGTCACAACAATCAAGATCAAGCAATGCACACCTTTTTCCTACAACATCTCTGAAGTCAGTACAAACAGTTTGTTTTTTTGAGATTCATAAAGTGGAAGAGAAATCTATTCATGGTTTGCATTTACTGCCAAACATTTTTCTCCTGGAAACGCACTTCCTCCACAGCGTTATGTGTGCCACAGTCCTTTTTTTACCACTGGTGGTGCAGCACATCTCTTAAGATTCCCATCATATCGAACAGGTCATCATCGTTTCCGTAGATTTGACGTTAAACCATGAAACCAAAGTCCAAAGTGTTGGTAGACTGGCTGCTCAGCTGGGCGCTTCCCGAGACAGACTAGAGGTAAAGGTAACTGACCCAGTATACTATATTGAAGAGCAAGAAAGAGGTGGGGAAGAAAACCCGCGAGTAGGTATCCAGCTCGCCTATATTGACATGGATCCGCCCTCTCCTCCAGCCGCCTTCTTTACACTCCTCGTAGCAGCAGAAGAAGCTGGCGCAGTCTTTTCCGTCCAGGCACTCATTCATGCAGTTGTCTTCGTAGTCGTGCCACAGCAGGGAGTGGCCCATGGGCATCATGGGCCGAGGGGCGTGGCCAATTTTGAAAGATGAGTAGGCCTGTTAAGAAATCAGAATGCGATACGTTGGAGGAATTAACAAATGGCTAGACCTTAACAACATGCAAGTATCGACTGTTGGTGAATTGAATGAAAGGTTATTAAGCCATGTAGACTCCCAGAGGAACTTTCTCTGGGGTCCAGTGGCTCCAATCCATGGCTACAAAGGCTCTACAGTGAATCTGCTACATTTGATATCGTTAATTGGAAACAGCCTCTGATATCAGCTGTGTCCCTTCCTCTGTCTTCTGATTACCAAATTGTCATATACCAGTCATTTCATTGTTTAATTTTGAGCTTCAGAGAGTGAATCATAAAAAAACATGAGTGCTAAATTGCTGTTGAAACTTCCTGTTGAACTGTGGTAATGTGATGCTTCACACGGTGACATACTGACAGCAGCCACTTGGTGGCAGTGTCTACATGTTGGATGAAGAATCTTTTTGTCACGGGTAAGGCAAACAGTGTCGTTGGAAACTGGAATTTGAAGCAGCTTATTAAGCAGGGTATCATAAGCTGGAATGCTTAAGCAGCTAGTTTTCCCCAAAAAATCTGATTGGATCCTAAAAAGATAATCTTAGACTTTTACATTATGTATGAGCTGGAGCCTGTTGTTTGTCTATAAGCCTAAAGGCTTCATTAGTAGGCAGAGGTTTCCTGTTAACCTGTCCTCACTGCAATGTTGAAAACATTCAGTTTAACTGAGGCCAATTTCAAATTCACTTTAGTGTCCCAGTGGGGGAATTTGTTCTGCAGCCAGGTGAAACCATAAAATGTAGAGACACATAAGACACAATGTAAAACCATCACTAAAACAACCATAACAATTGTTAATAAGTCGTTTAACATTTTCACTCATGTGCCTAGAGATTCTAGCTCCGATTTCATAGCCACCACATTGTCTCTAGTATACACAGAGAACATACACTAACTCATGTGACCAGAAGGATAATTCATTATTAACCTTAAAGATAACAGCCTGAAGCCAGTGCCCACAAAATTCCATTTTCTATTTAGCATGCAAAAACAAATACAGCCTTGATATAATAAGTGATATTTTTCTTGTTTTCATTTCAGCGCATTAGTTGCCTTTTGGCACTTCTGGAGAATCAAACAATCAGTTTGGATACTCAGTGTGTCTCTCAGTGAGGATACATGCTTATCGTTTTGCTGTTGTCAAATTGCTTCGGTGGATAAAAATAAATCAATCTTGGCATTACCACATGTTGTAAGTGGTTGCGTGTGATTTGATTCAGTGTAGACGGGCACAGTTCAAGGCGATAGGTCCGGGGATGCTAGGAACAAACATTAGCGATATGTCATCATTGTTCCTATTAAGTTTACTAACGGTCCTCAAAAACGACCTGCATCATTAGCTGTAAGACATACTGTACTTTATGATTACTTTTAATATGCTGAGCATTTTTTACGTCTTGCTAAGTAGTAACTGGCAATTCCATGGATAAGGAAGTAGCAGCTGTAGCTCAGAGGTAGAACAGGTTGTCCACTCATTTGGAGATCTGCAATTCGTCTTCAGCTCCTGGGTTAGGGTTAAGGCCCTGTCATATCAAGGAGACCGTCGGCCTTCGGCCTGTCAGTGAGCGGTCATCGCCCTAGTTTTTGCGGTGTGTCCGGGTCTGTCGCTACCATTCGGCCCCAGTTGGCCTTTTTTGGACGACATGTTGAATCGGAGGAGCCGTCACCGGCGCAGTTGGGGTTAAGAATGTCTCTGATTGCCGCTTCAGCTAAGTGAAACAGGACTGAAAACACCAGCGCCATGTTCAACTTTTTATCAGACATTATTCTCCATTAGAACTATATTACGAGTATTGAGCGACAGCGGTGAGAAAATGGTCTTCTCACATCAAAAATGGTTTATTTAGCCGCGTATCTTCCGGTTTTCCCCTTTTTGGAATGACGATTACAGACTACCGCCACCTGCTGGCATGGAGAGTTATTGCCTCTCGAGCATGTGCAGAATGTATGTGGTGGTCGGCTGTAGTCTTTGCGGTGTGTTCTAGTGCAACTTTTTGGCCAAGACAAAAGGCGCCACAGGCGGCCTTCGTCCCCACTCGTTCTTTAGGGCCTTTAGGGTTAGGGGTTAGGGTTCTGAATTTTCCTCGGGCAATACAGGTGCACCATTGGTGTTTCAATGAATTGATCGAAGTCCTGTTAGGCAGTTTGACGCTCTGCCTGACAGCCTCCATGTAACAGAAGTGACAATGTGTTTTCAAGACTATGAAAGTACTATACTACTACTAAGTACTGCTATACTTGGTCAACAAGGGCGAATTAACATAAAACACATAATGTTCTCAGTTTATTCTTTTAAGGCCATCTTGCCAAGTGAGATTCCTCTCTTTCAATTTTGGGGAATTCCATACCCTTGATTTTTTTTTTTTTTTGCTGTTTAATAAAATATACATAATATGTAAAAGATTAACACCCGCAGATGTTATATAACCATGCAGAAAAACCTAATGGGTAAAAAATGTTCAACTCCTCTACTCAGCTGTTTGATAGGGAAAGAGTTTAAGATTGTGTCGTTAAGAGAGCGGGTCTAACATACATTGGGTGAGGAAATTGTGAAATATGGTAAAATATGTGGCTTCCTTTACTGACAAGGCAGCAAGAGGAAGAAACGCCGGAGGAGGGGAGCGCATGCAACACAACTTAATTGTTCAGCCTGAGCTGACAAGCCTTTCTAGCCCTGAGATGCATTCAGCAAAACTCTTCTATACTCAGAGAAAGTACAGTAGTGGGAAGGTAGCGAGCGAGAGGGACGAGACAGAGGCGCCGGCTGACTCAGTCTTAGTAGACGTGTGCTGGCGGCTTGAAAAGCTCTCATGGCAGGTGCAGCCTTGAGAGCGCCCACGCAGAGCATTAGGCTCCAGCTCAAGAGCAATTGCTATAAAAAAAAAATGTTCCAAGTGTATTCCATTTTTGTGTAAAAACCCCCCCAAACATACTGTATGTATGTTTCTCTTATGTTTCTGACCGCACACTTACCATTTTCTGCATCTTGGCCGGCGGTTTAGGTATACTGTAGGAGTAATAGTTGAGCATGGCGTATTCAATCATGGCGGCAAAGACGAACAGGAAGCAGACGGTGACAAACAGGTCCATGGCGGTGACGTAGGACACTCTAGGCAGCGAGTTCCTGGCCACCGTGCTCAAGGTGGTCATGGTCAGCACTGTGGTGATACCTGAGGAGTAAAGGAGCATTACTTTATAAAGTGAAGTAGCAGTACTTTCCTTTCCAACTGAGACCTCATGCAGCAATGCATGTCTTGTGTCCTTCTCTGGTTTTTCTTGGTGTTGTCCTTTTGTTGATGGTCAGTTCAGCAAAATCTGACCAATCAGGATTGACTTTGTAAATCCTTAGTCAGGGACAAACCTAATGTCCACCATTGTGGCTGATATATATATATAGATGTATAAACATTGAGTAAAGGAAGAATATGAGACTTTTTGATCCAGCAGATGTCGCACTTGAGCATCAGCATGAAACCAAAACAACTCGGGCTGCATTGTTGTGTTAGCATGCTGATGCTAGTGCTCTTTAGTTTGCTCGTAGCTTCACACTGCATGTAAATTAACAGGAAATGACCGTGATCTAAAAACGCTCACATGACATTCAAATAATCACTGAGTACAGTATGTTATTCTTCTTTTCTCTAGTCCCTCAATTAAACAACTTTTATACGCAAAGGGATGAGTCGGCCGGCTGTCCGGGCGATGTAAACACACTACAGATACGGCTCGGAAAGGATATATTTGATTTCTGCTACATTTAAGTGTGAAAAATCACATTTGTCAATACATAACGTTTTTTTTTTTTTTTATGCTTACATCGCATGGTGAGGTTCAGCCACAGAGGCTCAAGCTTCAAGTTAAACAAGTAGGGAATTTGATTTTAAAAAAAGATTCAGATAGAATTTAGGGGAACAATGGGGTTGGGGCTTTGTCGTCTCTCAACAAGAAGGTGGGATGTTCTTGCCCAGCTCCTTCAGCAAACATGTCAAAGTGCCCTTGGGCAATACTCTGAACCTTCAAATGGCTCCTCCTGTGATGCAGTGACGTGTGAAAGTGTATAAATTGTATTAGGTTGTACTAATCAACACTTTACATAACAGCCTCTGCCATCAGTGTCAGTGTGTGAATGTGGTGTGAATGGGAAAGTGTGATTTGCTGTCTAATAAGCACTCGAGTTGTCACAAGACTAGAAAAGCAGCATACAAGCTCAAATCCATAAACCAATCTGGAGAGGCAACGCTTTTTTACGCACTGCAACCCTGGAGATCACATTTTTAAGAAGGTGTATCAAAGGGCTCTGATTTATCAGTTGCAATGCTGTTTTAAGGTGGCAAATCCACAGGGTAGGTTAAAGTCATTTATGAGCAGGGCATAGGGGCATAATTAGGATGAGGGGCTTATCCTCTCATCAGGGTACAAGTATCTTGTGTTTACTTAAAATGATTATGATCATCATTTTCAGATTGAGGTTCCCATCAAATCTTTCTTATTTCAGAAGTAATTTTGTCATTTTCAAGTCATGATTGTTTTGAGTGGGGTTGCAACGCAGGGAGCGCACCAGAGTGGTTAGGGGTTCGGTGCCTTGCTCAACTACCAGACCAGCTTCCATATTATGGGACTGTTAGCGACTAGTACATGATCACAGAATTCATGTTTGTAGGTAATTGAAGTATCAATCATTTATTGGAGATCTTTTTAATTGTTTCTAATTGTGTTATCAACACTTTGTTTGAAAAATAGCTCCCCATGGCATCTCAGGAAAATATTTTGTTTTCCTGGTGAAATACAATCAATGCTTTCAAAAGGCGATGTCATCAATGCCCACTGGGGACACATCGCTATACTGCTGTAACCCGCATCCGTGATTCTCCTAATCTTGCCGTCTTTTCTTATCCTTTCCTATTCCTCTGCATGCTACATCTCACCCCCTCCTCTATCTCTTTGTCCCTTTCTCTCTCTCTCTCCCTTTCTCTCTCTTTTCGGTCCCTTTCATCCTCATCTCCCACATGTCTTTCATTGGCAGAGTGTGCCACTGCTTGCGCCTGTGGTTTCCATAGAGACGAGTTGCTCCCATCTATTTCAAGCTACCTCCTCTCGTCTAGACTCGTTTCCCCACGCTCAATAAGATTTAAGCGCATAATCAGGTAAATTAACAATTTTCAAATTCTAATTCCTCAAAACTCCCCATCTTTTTCTTTTTATCTGATACTGTAAGCTGTGTGATCTCAATGAAGACTAACATTATGTTGTTTTTTTTAGCAGCAGCTTGTGCTGTTATTTCAAATCAAGGTCATGGCTTTTCATTTCATAGTCTCATTCTGACTGTGGGAATCGTTACCATGCAATGCCATGGCAACCAAGGGATTCTTGTTCATCCAGGGGGGTCTGAACAACTAAAAGTCTCACAGCTACGGAAAACAAGAAGCACCACATACTGATAGATAGATAGATATAAATAAATGGGGATCAAGGAGGTTTGAAATAATAAACAGCTTCAGCTGATATTATGTGAAAACTTATGTATGTGAATCTCCCTAACATAGTACCGGTGGCGGTCTTCTCACTTGCTGCTGAGAAGGCATTGGATCAGGTGGAGTGGGGGTTTCTTATGTTATCTCTCAAAATTTGGATTTGGGCAAATTGTCTACCTTTCTAGGGGAGAAAAAAATACATGTTCTCTGGGAATGTTACGATATTTCATTTTAGATGAGTACATTCAGGCATGAAATACTTAAAGGAAGGATTCTAAAAAAAAATCAAGATGAATAAATGGGGAAAGTTACAGCTCTCTCTTTAAGGGACAATACAATACATGTCATTTATGTTAGCATATACCCTAACCCTAAGCAATGCGACTGATTTTTCAAAGACTTTCTACGGGACAAGATGAGACCACGGATCAATTTGAAGAAATGTGGTCACCCAGGGTCATTAAAGAAATGGCTTTCCCCAATGTGAGGTTTTACGCTATATTCTTTGAAGTGTCTAGATTGATTTAGCATTGGAAGGGGGACAGATCCAGAGGTTGTGCTGGGTCAAAATGGAACAGAAATCAGAATCAGTATTGGTATTGGTCCATGTAATAGAGTTAGGATCACCTAGTTCACTGGTCTTACATGGCGATCATATGGCTGGAATATAAACATGCAGCCGTTGATATACCTGGAACTCTTCAGATGAATATGCAAGTGATTGAGGTTGAATGAAACTCATGGCAACTTGATCCTTTTAAGGTATCTCATGCACACTGAAGAGGCCTTGACTTAATGCACGTAATCCGTACCAAGTGTCTCCTCATCACAACCTTCTGACTGAGGAGAAACTAGGACTGAACAGCTTGCAGGGAGACAATGCGTCAATGGAATTGAGGGTAAATAGTAAATAGACTTAATCTCAAAGCCATTTTTACACAGATGGTCACACTTAACCAATAACACCACATTGACACACTGATGGCAGAGACTGCTTTGTACTGTGTTCATCAGGTCGCTTTGTTAAGTATTAAGTGTCTTCCCCAAGGACACTTGAACATGTGGCTGCAGGAGCTGGGGATAGAACACCTGACCTTAACCAAATGTTCCTCCTTCTTTGCTCCTTCAACCTTTTTACAGGTTCTAGTTAGCTAGAAGATTCCTCCAACTTTTCACAGCACAGTCGGGGGGGACTGATGTTCCTGCCAAATATCTGTAACTCGCTGCTTTCTTGATAGGCTTTTCCCATGAGCAGCATTGTCAGCTCTTTCAATCACGCTGACTATAATTCTGCTGACGAGTACTGGTAAGAACGACAGCTCTCAAAGGGAACTCTTCTGTGTAAGACGGTGACAGCTCTTTGGATACCAACCCAGAACATGTTAGCAGCTTGTCAAGGTATACTGCCCTGTGGGAATACAGTAGGAAAGGGGTCAACAGCATCACCTTCTTTTTTTTTTGTTGTCACGATTGTCGGACTGATCCTCCTCACTCCTTCTGACAATTCCCTCTGCTATTATGTGAGTGCTTCACTTTGCGTTACACTCCTTTCTTTCAACCTGGGGATCAGGTATCAGGCCATCCTGAAAACAGGGGCAGCGTAATGGAGAAGAAAGGCTGAATATACTGATTAGCTTACAGTTTAAAAGTTTGGTGGCGGGGAGTTTAACATAACTGGCGTTATTTAGTTTTTTTTTTTCCCCAAGTTATTTTTTCACTAGGCCTTGTTGCCTTTTATTGGATAGTGCAGCTACAGAGAGAAGGGACAGGCAGTAAAGGGCCGAGGTCAGATTTGAACCCATGGTTGGTGCAATGAGGACTATAGCCTCCTTACATACTCATTAATAGAAAAGGAAAGAGTTAAGTGCCCGTTTGTTTGCCCCCATGATGGATTTAGTGACACAACAATGGTGGACCCTTCCAAACCCCAGCTGCTAGGGCAATGCAATCGTGTACCTAGAGCTGTTCTTGCAGGCGTGGCATCACTCTTGATCCAGAAGGAGACCCAGGAGAGGACGACAGTCAGGATACAGGGGATGTAGGTCTGGATGGTGAAATAGCCCATCCGTCTGCTGAGATCGAAGTAAACTGTCATCACCACATAGTCACCTGTTGAGAATCAGAAGATTGAGCATATGGTCACTCAATTTACCTATAAAGGTCAATATGAATAACATCCAAGAAAAAGCTTTCAGAGCATTTGCATCATGTCATTACTAAGTAACTGAGCAAACAAAAAAAACTATTTGACTGGCACAGGTGGCTTTGCGGTTGGTGTGCATACCCCATGTTCAGAGGCTGTGGTCCTTCAGGTGGGCGGCCCCGGGTTCGGATTTGACCTGTGACTCCTTTCCCAGATCACTATCGGCCGATATTATTGGCTGGCCAATAAATTCGGTCGGGCTCTACGATAAACTTTGTCATTAGTTCATTAGAATGGTTTGGTGGCACAATGGAAAGATATGTCACATTAAGATACTAAGTAGCTTTCTTCCAAGGTCCTAAAAACACACCAGAGCTACATCTGAAGTTATGTAATATTTCATTCATAGTTTTCTAAAATAATGTGTTCATGCCTACTATTTGTCTTTCCCATTAAGTCATTAAAAAAAGGATCAAAGTTCAAGTTTTCCAGTTGGGATTGAATGGGATTTTCTGTCCGCTTCTGGTTAGAAAGCAAAGTATGAAGGGTCTCATACATCAGGTAGAGAAGGTATATATCAATTGGAAGATATAATGAGCAATGGTGCCATTTGGGAAAAAGGCGTACCATTGCAGGTATTTCCAGCATATACTCTTTATGGACATGAAGAGGAAACAATAGAAGCTTTTAAAGAAATGTGTGATTGGATAGTAGAACAAAGCTCTGCAAATGTAGGGATCCTGCATTGGGGTCTGTTAAGAGGGTGTCACAAAATTGTGGATTCTTCAGGAGAGATCCCCAGTGGCCAGGGATCTTTTCGCTCAGTCCTAGTTAAAACAGCCTCAAACATTGTGTACTTTATAATAAACACAAGACAGGGATAAACACAAGATATAGAGAGAACAGAGGAAGAGACTCACAAGCAATTTTGAAGATTGTCATGATTTAAATTTATTATAGGTATTTTTAGCTGGGTATCTAATCATCATGAATGTTCAGACAGCATCTCAGCAAGTGAAATAGGAAAAAAAAGAGGAAGTGATAGATTTGAAAACTAGCTAATTATCTTGAACAGCATGAGGGAGGTGTGTAGGCTTACCGTGTTTTGAGCATCTCAGCAGAACATTTGTTTGGCTGTTTTAATAATGCACTGGGAGTCCAAGAAAACACTTTATTCATAAGGCCTCATCAATGTGTTCTGAGACGAGTGTGCTCATCAGTCACCCTTTTTGTGATCAGAAAAAAGCTGCCATGGTTATTTGTCATTTTGGGTATGCAATCTGTTTCCCCAGTGGTTGGTTTAACAGACAGCTGAATGTGGAAAAATATATGTTTTTTCCATAATTGATCTATACATCTCATTTACTCTGAGCTCTGAAATAATTTAATTATTCTTCCTGTTATCCCTGTTACTCATCATGCAAAGCCCTACTGTTATTAAAATATTCAGAACCGAGAGTTCATAAAGCTGAATGAGGTCCCATTATGCGAATCCAAGCACGTCTCTCCATAGACAAAGGACTGGTCGGCAAAAATACCCAACTCATAAACAAGGTCAAGAGGGTCATGCTCTCTATACCCCTCATGCATAATTATTTTCTTCAACATGTATTTATCTTTGAGGGTCACATGAAAGCATTACAAGGTATTTGGAAGTTGTCAATGGCATGGGCCAGTTTGGGGGATAATTACTGGCACGTTCAAAAGATGTTTCTCCAGCTTTCAATTCTAGGACCTGACCGATATGGAATTTGTGAGGCGGATACTGATATCGATATCAGAGAGATAAAAAAACAATAAAACCGATATATTGGCCGATATCTTTCTTAGGACCTATCTTTGATCTAGATAGATGAATATTGATCTACACATTTATTATGTCGATCCCTCAAATGCAGTTGTCATTCACTTGTGAAAAAGATAATAAAGACACGATGGTCGTTGTAATCCATACAGCACACTCTGATTGTGAAAGAGAACTGCTCGTGTAATACAAACATACTCAAATAAAATGCTATTTGACTTGTGTAAAAATTATATTGGGGAATATATGCGATAAAATTATCGGATACAGAGTCATTTGATATGCTAATATCGGTTGATATTATCGGCCGGCCGATAATCGGTCGGGCTCTAGTCAGTTTCTCGGAAAACGGCAAACAAAAGTAGCAAGAAAGACCATCCCAGTTGCTAGTGTAAATCTAAAACTGACCAAGGGAAATATTGTTTTCCCAGAAGGGGAATGAAATAAGTTTTACGTTTCTGGACTAAAATGCTGGAGTATTTTGAAGTTTTCTCAACATTGTTTGGTCGGCATCGTGCTCACCTGCTGTTGTCCTGAGCACATCTGTAGTGTTTCGGAGCCCCATAAAATCGAACTGGTAAAGCCTCCAGTATTTCTGGTCGGAAGTCTGCACCGAGTTTCGGTCCCACTTGTAAACAATTTCATCTCGTGGGTAGCCGTCTGGAAACCACACAGAGAGTGGGGTTTAGTGTGTGAAAGTAAGAGAGGAAGACAAGACAGATCAAGTTAAAAGTATGGAATAAAGGTTGGATTTGAGACAATTGAAGAAATTTTTACATTATTCAGTTATATATTGTGCATTGTTGTGCCCTGTAGTGAATCCAGATGCATTATTTAAATAGTCTAATTTAGAGAATAGCTATCAACCAGAGATGAGTCTTTTTTTTAAAAACATGAATATAGATGAGGAACATTATTGCCATCTTATTTATCCTGGTATATTTGGACAATTACCATTTTTCATATCTTGAAAAGAGCCCTGAAGCAAAATGTTCTCACACAATGTAATAAATTACACTCTTCCTTTGGCACCTAGCTCCAAAGTTGTTCTTGTCTACCCTCAAAAGAAACAAGGTTTTAGGACTCATTCCTGTGGGGCCCCATTCAAATGTAAACAAGGGATTCAAATATAATTAAAAAATCCTCACTCAAAAAAACAATCCTAATCATTCTTGAAAGAATATATAAGCTATAATCGTACTATGTTTTAAATTATGAATTGAAATGATTCCCCATAATAAACTATGTATGCTAGGGTAAACCGTAGCTCTCTTTATCTTCATTCCTGTTTGCCATCTTTAAAAAAAAGAAGCTGTATATCTTGTGTTAGCTGTTTTTTTTGTTTAACCATAAGCATTATTTCCCTTGTTCTTTAAAATTACACCCCCAGGATTAACAATTCCATTTTTAGATTGTGGTTGTCAAAATGAAAAAAACAAGAATGTTGTGAAATAACAAATGTCCAAGGAGCCACCTCTGGACCAGGCAAACTATCCAAACCCATCATTGCCATCAGCTCCAAGAGACAAAGAGACACAGTGACCAGCAGAAAATGTGCCATACTGGTCCCAAAGGCCTCTTTCCTGTCCTGGGGAACAGACGGGGAAGAGACACAGTAGAGGCCCTGGAGTCTATGCCCATGTACAGAAATGTTCTTGGCAAGGGCACTGAGATGGATAGAAAAGTAGCTTATCATGATTGTATTTAGAGTAAGGTTGTCAACATTGTTAGTATTTTTACAATCCAGTCACCTTTGCTTTTCCTCAAGCTTTTTACAGAGCTACAATTAGCGGAGACTTTCAACAACATTTAAGAAGGTAGTCCTGTTGCAGTACAGATGCAAATCCGTCCCAGCATATAGCCTTGTGTTACAAGCCCCAGACAGATCAAAAGAGATGTGCTACAGGCGAGCAGTGAGCGTGTGAGAGTGCTGGCAGAGTGTCAGAGAAGAAGACCGGGGGATTCAATTTGAGCTACTTTTATTTACCCACCACTGTGGCTGGTAGGTTGAGCAATTGGTGTGGCCTCGTGTAAACAATAACCAAAAACGTATGTTGAAACGGGTGACCATGTCATGCCAGAATGTAATACTGGTGATGGTACTTGTACCGGGTTATTCAGCGCACCGCTACAATCAGGGTTAATGCTAGTCATGCTAAGGGGCAGGGTCATCCTGGCCAAATACTGCAGCTACTGCCCAGGCAGGACCTTTTTCCTCTCCTTCAAAAGTTAATGTGTCAGCTTATGACGCCATAAAGAGCAGCTTAATAACGAAGCTAGCACATTGGCAGGTATTGTCAAACATTACACCTCAGAACTTGGGACCCTCAGTATTGCTTTGAGATTTTGTGTGCAGAGGAATACTCTGTTTCCAACACATGACCCTCAGATGAGGAAGCAGGTGCATCTGAAGTTTTTTTGTTTGTGCTCTTTCCAGAACAACAACACAGTTTTATCCTGAATAATTCAGACTACACCACAAGGATATTTACGACGAGGAAGCTGGAATAGTGTCACAAGACCCTGCTGATGCATTGCGGCTAACACCTCGCTGTGGGAGTGTCACCCACTTGTACCATTTGCAAAATACCATTTGCAGTCATTGTGGTAGTCATTGGGGAAGCAATTACAAGCCTTTGTGCGTATGATGTGGATTATAAACTAATAACATACACGCAAAGCAACATCCAGCCATCCAACCAATGGCTATTGGTTATCACGTTTTGGTGTAGAATGGAACTATTCTACTGGCGGCTAAGTATCGCTAAATGCATAAACGTTAGCATATTTGACTCGTGTGTTTGGTGCATGCTAATTCCAATATTCACAGCTGGAGAAGACGAGTGGACAGGAGTGTTCATCCATTGGGAAATTATGGAGCTGCAGCTGGCATTCTGCGTTGATGGTCATTCTGAGAGAGAGAGAGAGAGAGAGAGACTTTAGCAAAGACATTCAAAGAACTACTTTGGATCCTCCATTTCTTGGCCTCTGAAGCACATGTTGTGTGAATGCATGGTATGTACCATTGCTCATCTCAAATTACTGTTTGCACTACTGTTATGAAGAGCTGGAGCCAAACCAGATGGTACAGAATCACACTTGGTTTCTTGGTTGATGTGTCCAGTGAACAGAGCTGTTTAATCCACAACATCCAACTTTTTTTTTTTTTTTTTTTTACAAAGATAGTTTATCTAGGTCATCTTCTGGGTCAACCCCAAATTGTGTGTACATTTCTAAAAACAGAAGCTACTGCATGTAGCTATGATCAATGACCAAGTCAGTGTTGCAGAACACTTTTACCAGTCCCCAAACAAATTTACAAAACAACAGAATATAGGCGGAAAGGGAATGTACCAAATGCAGGAAGTGACCCGGAAGTGACCGAGTGAGGCCTCCATCCAGAACTTGAACCTATATAAATGAATATAATCTTACGTGTATACATATATGGTTAACATAAAAATGTATTAATTAATTAAAATTTTACTTTCCGCCAAAACAAACAAAATAACCCCTCACTCAATCACTTCCAGGTCACTTCCTGCATTTGGTACGTTCCCCTTTCCATCAAGATTCTGTCGCTTGTAATTTTGTTTGGGGACTGTTTTGTGTCAACACTTGGGAGAAGTGTTTCACATCTTGTAATTTTTGTTTCATAAAATGGAAAAAATGGTTTTCAAAATGTACATTCATCTCAAAAAGTGTTTAACACTTTGTAATTTTGCTTTGCACTTCCCAACCACCGTACAAACACAGGGGATGTAGTTTTCATTAAAAAATCAAACAGATTGAGACTCAATTGATATTCTCTGCTTGATACTAAAATGTGCCATTCTATTTATCATTTTTCTCCATAATAATAATACCAATTAAAAAGAGATCATCATGGAGATGGGCATTTTCTTTCTCCTCTTGTTGTGTCAAAAGAAGTCTTATTAATAACAGAAAGACGGCTGCCTCAATCATCCTGTTAGTAGGCGAACAAATTGCAGATTCTCATGCACACTCAATTTCCATTTCTTTCCAGAATGACCAAATTTAGGAGGATTGAATTTGAGCTGAGGAGGAAAGAGAAAACAGAAGCTCCCACGATTTTGAGAAGGGAGCATGACGGATGTATCTGTCAATACAATTACACCCCCAAACATAACGCCTTTTTTCAGACTTAATATCCTTTTAATGAAACAATCATTTTCAAATTCATTACTGAGACACGCATAAGCAGCAATGAAATTAGATATTGAAAGCCAAATATTCCATGGGAAGTTTATGGCTAAGGAGAGGAATGTCATGAGACGATTATTTAGAAGCAGGGCTGTCTGAAGAGTCATATTGTTCCCTCTAAACATTTTAAAACAGGAGTTTGATGGCTGTAAAAATGACAGATCATTATAAATTATGATGTTCATTTTACGACCCTCTCTATCAAAATGACAGACAACAAGAAAGTCAACCCCTGGTAGGCTGTATAAACACACATATAGTATATTGGTTTGTCTTTTTATCACACTGTTTTGCTTCTGTTACCTGAGTGTGTAAAGTATTTTCCCATTGGTCTTGATCCTCAGCAGCTGATTGGGCGTCGTTATCCAATGAGAGTCGGCATTCTTGGAGTTTCTAAAAATGGTGTCAGGCAGCCAGATCAACCCGACCATATTGCTGGTTGAATTGAAAGCAGATGGAGAGACAAAGAGGGGGTGAATGGCAGAAGGTTAAAAAAGGTTTTGAGGTGCCTAAGAAAGCTCAGGAGCTCCCAGGAAAATATGTGGTTACTAATATTATTGGCATTGCTACAATTAGTGTGTATTATCTACTTTAGTATTATCTGTTATTTTTGTCTCTGTGGATTAGTATTCTGTCTGTCTGCTTGTCTCTATCCATATTTTCACTCCCCGTTACCATGTGCTTGTTGATGGGGAATTTCTGGAATTTAAACAACATGTTCAGTAGATCTCGTACCTGTTGAGGGTAAGGGTCTTCATGGTGCTGCTGTTGTACCGCAGACGGGTGTCCACCCAGGTCTGGGCGAAGATAATATCGATCTGGTACTCCTGAGGAGAGAAAACAAGAGTCAATACGCTGATCTGAAAACCCTCCTTTTAAAGTAGCATCCCGACTGAAAGAGATGGATGAAGTCCTTGTGCCTCTGTGTAGTCCTTCTGGAGGAGCTAAAAATGTGTTTGTTTGAAGACAAATGAGTTCACATCAAAGGAAATACTCCAGCATTGCAACACTCTGTGGACAGGACTTTTAGATATGGAAATGAAATCGTGTAATCTTACAAATGCTTATTTCAGTACATTTGATTTTCCACCTCAGCAGTGACCCCTCTTCTAATTGCAAGAAGTCTGAATCAGAATAATAATTTGCTTAGGTAATTAGTCATTGTTGTTTTGTGGTGAAAAGGTATCATATTTTCATTTTTTTAAATTACAAACACCTGAAACACACCTAAAATGGTTGAGGGATTTTAATGACAAATGATTAATCGATTGTCGTCTCCCAACTGAAAGGTCAAGGGTTCGATCCCCAGCTCCTGCATCAACATGTCCAATAAATGTATGTATCAATATTTATCTTTCTGTCAATATATATTAGTATCCTTTTTTTTTTTCTCCCTAACCTCAAAATTGGTCTCAAAAATCCCATATCAGTCGGGCGCCAACAAGTACAATAAAAATTACATTAGTAGACCTGTTGTAATGGAGTAATTGTTACAGCCCCAGACAGGCAAGCACACCCACATAATGTTGCCGTTATTTGCCGACTCTTGGAGAGTGGGGCATGTTTACCTGTTTGCCTTACCACAATGATCTCTCATTGTAAACTCTGACACCTGCTCTGGCACTAGGAAGAAGCAGAGCCATTTTGTCAGTGAGCTCGCGAGACCGCTTGCTCTGCTTTTGAGTGTCTTAAGCCGTTCATGCAGAAGACTGAGGTACTCAATCTGAGGCCTCGTTTGTTGAAGAATCACGATGTAATGCTACTTGAATTTACCCGCTACTGTTGCCTGGTGTGTGTACTACAACCAAAAAATTAGGCGACCCTGAAAGTGCCTCCAAATGTCGTCCCTTTTGACCATTTACATATATTAATGGTAACAGGAAGTCAAATACATACATTCAAGCACATCACTACAATCATGGATTAAAAACATTGCCACTCACTTTCTGACCTTTCCAAACACAGCGAGATGAGAACTGACCTTCTAATAATACATCTGTCACTAGAATCACTGTTATTGTTGTTCGGCGTGACCTTTGGAAGATTATGTTAGGGAGACATGCAAGCTTTGACCTGCCCATAATTTAAACCCAAACCACACCAATTGTTCCATAATATGCCTGGAACAGCTTCCTGAATGTGTTTTTTTTATTTTATTTGCGTCTACATCTAAGAGAAAGTGACCTGAGTCCATTATTCACAGGCATAATGAAAAAAACAGTGAAGCTGGGTATCCCAAGATTTGATTGACGGCTGATATTCTTCTTCTGGGAATCCAATTCAAAGTTGACATTAAGGTGTTTAGGAGGGAGTCCATAACTCATACTGACAAGAAAGAATGAATCAAATAGCTATGGATAAGAAAGTCTAGGATGACTTGAATAGTATATTACTGTAAATGCTGGAATAAATCCGATACTGGGAGAAGCAAGTTCATTCCTTAGGTTATAAATACTTTACTTTAGGCCTTGAAATATTTAGATTGGGATAAACAATTCCCCTCCTGTCGCCGACTAGGTTTCACACAGCGGGTAATAGGTACAAGTCATGGCAGAAAACCCTCGTGATCAAAAATTGATGCTTTGTCTTGTATGTGACTCCAACACAGTATTCCCAAGAAGAGGTTGTTGTTGAATTTGTGTTGCTCGCATTTGATGGATAATCTTTACAGAGCCACAAAAGCTGACAGGTCGGGTTTGATATGATGTTTATAATACAGGGCATGCCAACAAGACCAATCAAAGGAGGTCAACCTTAAAAGGCCACCTGGTCGTCAAAGCTCCGGGCGGACTTTGTGGGTATTAGTTAAGCTATTGTTGCATACAGGGAACTGGCTGGAATGGTATGAAATCCATGGGAGTGGATGGATGAATGAATGCACCGAGTGAGGTTGTGATGACCCTTGAGGGGCCCCCCCTGTGGACAAGCCGTGTGTTTTGGACTCTTCTCCCTGAGAATGTGCAGAGAAAGATTTGACGGTTCACTGTATCGAAGGCAGCTCCAGCCAAACACAGTGATGATGTTACCGACAGTTGTGTTGTCTTGGTCGAGTGGTCCCGCTTAAAGCCAGAGGGATTTGCATCAAACAGATTGCTCTTACAGGAATTCTGAGACTTGATTAAGGATTGTGCGCTCAGTAGAAAGGAGACAGTGAATTGAATAAAAAAGTGAACCAAGAGATGATAGGGAAAGACGGGCAGATTTGCCGTGGAGCAATCCCTAATCAAAAACAGATCTCGAGCAGTGGTTCTCAGCTGGTCGAGCCTCAGGACCTGCCCCAGGCACACATTTGCAACCCGCTGAAAACAGCTGCACGACCCACCCGTTGAGAACCACTGGTCTAGAGTTTTGTCTGCTGTACTTGGCAGAGCAGTAGGGACCTGTTCGAGTTCGGGAGAGGTCAGTGGCCTGGGTTTTATCAGTGTGGTATCAGTGGTATGCCATCTTTAAGAACGTCTGTGAGTAGCGTCTACAATTGCAATTTATTTCATTTTATTCAGTGAAGAAATTTACCCCCCAATATTGATAAACCAGCTCTTTCAGAACGCTCCGTTTTGGTGTGTGTGTCTCTTTAAATGCAACGAGCCCCCTCTGAGTTTTCCCAGTAGACATCACTCCTCTGTAGAGAGAATAAAAATGGCCGACCTGTGCAAAAGTTTTGTTCTAGGCTGGAGGTAGAGTCCACAGGTGGAGATATCAAGGGAGGGGAGGGGATTTTTTTTTTTACCAGAATCCCACTGTGACATCACAAGGAGCGCACATTTGAAACAGAGCATTTTTCTCAGTGTTGTAAGACTTATGCAGACCACAAACAAAGGACTGGATGGGTTTATTTCACATTTTGTGGGTCAGTAGACTCTCAGGTTACCCAAATAAATGTTCAAAAACACTGCAGAAGTGGATTTTTCATAACATGTCCCCTTTTAACGAAGACATCAAAAGTCAGTTTAGCACACAATCAATATTTCACCATGACTAACTCATAATGGACTTTACCCTGATAGCATTGCTTATTAAGTAGAATCCAGTCAGTTTAAAATACAGTTTTTTCACTTTAATATTATATTATGCTTTGCAAGAGGGGACTCTCCTGCTAAGTACAGATCACTGACTAATGTGTTTCTTCTGGCAAAACTGATGCCGCATAGTTTCTATAAATATTAATAAGTGATATATTTATATCTCACAGACCTTGGGAAATTGGTCGTTGGTCTACATTTGCAATCCCTCAAGAAAAAAACTTGAAAAGAAAGAAAATGGAGAGTGTGATTCCTCCAAGTCACAGGTTTCCTGTTTCTGCTGGTTGCTGTGGAGCGTCATTATGTGGAATGATATTTAAATATGCAGTTTATTCTTAGAGCTCTTACCCAAATAAACACATCCAACCCAGAGTGCATCGCTGTGTCTTTGTCCCACAGGCTACCCTACAGTGACGCTCCGTGTTTGCGAGGGGCCAAAAATAACAGTCGACATGACCGCTCAACCGTTGCTCAGGGGCGATGATGAACTTACTCTGTATAAAACAAAGATATGCTGTACCTGCAGATAGGAGTGGCATTTTAAAAATGTGTTTGTGGCTGTGTGTGAAGCTAATTTCAAACAGAACCTTTGGAAAAAAAAAAAAAAAAAAGATTTGGATTGTTTGCTTGAGGAATGAAGACACAAAATGAAAAATGACCCAAACTGGTGCTTCGCTGAGTGTCCCTCTTTGTCCAACTCAAATAATTAACTTTGTTTGCTTGGCATGGTAATAAGTGGCACTGCTCAAGGGAGCAGCAATATCAATAGTTGTGTAAGGAGCTTCTTTTAAACTATGCAAGCAGCATCACTGAAATGTTTCAAATTGGATGGATTGCCATCAAAATTTGGAGAAAAAAAAAATATTCATGTAACAGAAGTTGGATTTATTTCTTGGCTGACAAAATTCTTTTAATTCAATAGAAGGTGTGAACCATGAGAATGTAATACAATTTGAATTCTACAATTTAATAATGTGTTTTTAGGTTTTTTCTGAAAGCCACAGGTGAGGTTTAAATCTGCTCCTTTCTCTTCCCTTGACAAAATAAAGTGATTTGCCATTACTATTTAATGCTTTTATGCCACATGTACCGCTACAAGGCTTCAGGAACAGTCTATAAAAGAGATGCTACTCATGATTTATTTATATACAGAGTCTCTCTCCAAATACCACATTTTTATGTCAATTGCTTGTGTTGGGGGGAAAAAACAAGCCGGAGGAGAAGATGTTGAATAAAAAGAATTGGATAAAAGAGGGATATTAACGAATGAGGTAATCAAATAATGACATCTGAGGGATTAAAGAGGAAAGACTTAGAATGTGTTGAAGAGGGAAGGGCACGGTTCAAACAGAATTGAGTGATCTTGCAGTTGCTGTTCTGTCAGCTAATCAATATTAGCCGACTCTCAAATCACAATCAATCAAATCACCAGTCACAGTTGATCAAGACAGTAAGGCACTGATTTGATCTCCAACACAAATCTCCACCTGTTCTAATCTCTGACATTCTGTATTTCTAAACTTGGTAAGGACAATATTTTGCCTGTTGCTCTTTGTTTATCTTCTCCTCTGGTCTATTGAGATCTAGAGTAGTGCTTCCCAAAGTGTGGGCTCTGGGTACTACAGGAGGACTGTGAGAAAGCCTGCCTCAAGAAGGAAAGGAAAAAAAGAGAAAAACCATGAGAGCCCGACCGATTTATGGGCCAGCCGATAATATCGGCCGATATTAGCATACCCAGTGACTATCGGTATCGGCTACTTTTATGGCAGATATTATCTGACATTACTAGATTAATTTACCACTCAAAA